CGTCCGCTGCCTCTGGCGCGTCCGCTGCCTCTGGCGCGTCCGCTGCCATTGGCGCGTCCGCTGCTTCTGACGCCGACGACGCGACGCCGACCGTGCGTTTCAGCCTCACCTTCGCCGCGCACGGCATGTCACGCATTGCATACAACACAACGGACCAGCAGCGCGTCGTCAAGCTAGCCGAGCGCGCAGAGCAGGTGCGGTCGAGTGAACGCGAGGCCGAGATGTCGGGGGCCCTGCGGGAGCTGGCGCCGGCCGTCCTCCCCTTCGGCGCCGGCGGCGTCAGGCACCTGCACTTCCTCATGGTCAACAGCGCCATGCCGTTGGATCGGGACGTGCGGTTGCTGCGCGACGACAGCCAGGGCAAAGCGGCACGTCTTCCTCCTGGTGGTGCGGACCTTCGCCCAGGCTGCTGATCGCGGTGCCTGCATTTCCGACCTGAAGCTGGATAACTTGGCCTGGGATTCCGAAGGAGAGCGCGTTCTCTTCCTGGACGCGGGCACCTTCCGCCTGACGGGCGCGCGCAAATTTCCGAGAAAGAGGCAGCTACAGAGCTTCTTGGCCGCAGCCGAGATTTGTCTTGACTGCCAGACGCTGCTGGAGCTCCACAACCTGCTGTCGCACGGGGGGGGCCCTGACATTGTGGCACGTCGGGTTGCCGATGCGCTGAGCCGCGGCTTTCGGCTCGGCTCGGCGCCCGCCCACCTGAACCCGTGGGCGCTGCCCTCGCCCCCCGCGGCGGACGAGGACCTGCGCGATGAGTCTGTGTCTGAACACACTTCTGGGCCACTCGGCTTGTGGCGGAGACCTGCTCCTAGAAAGGAGCTCTGGAGGGAGCAAGAGGATGTGGCGCTGTCCGTCTGTGTCGACTCGGTCGAAGCCGCCCGCCGCGTGCCCGAAATCTACACCGCGGAGTATAACGCTCTCTCTGCGACTCCGCTGCCTCTGGCGCGTCCGCTGCCTCTGGCGCGTCCGCCGCTCTTGCTGCTGCAGCTGCTGCGGTCGCTGCTCCTGCGCCAGCTCCTGCGCCAGCTCCTGTGCCACTCCCGCCGCCGGATCCTGCGCCAGCTCCTGCGCCAGCCAGCGTGAGCGGCGGCGGCCGCGCCGCTACTCCACCAGGACCGGTCACGCCGCGGCTTGCGCCGCTGGCGTGGCCGCCGCAGGCGGCGCCAAAGGTTAATGCGAAGAAGGCGCCGCTTCTTCCGCTGCGCGAGAAGGCGGCGCCGCCGCCTGCCGCGACTTCACAGAAGAACAGCGCCGCTGCCTCTGGCGCGCGTGCAAAAAAGCCACCCGCTGTTTTGGTTACGCATGCATGGGTGAGGGCCAGCTCGCCGCCGCCGCCGCCGGCCGCCAGCTGGCCAGCAGATTCGGCGGCGACGCGGGCTCAATTGCGGCCGCCGCCGCCGCGTCATCCTCCCCGAGCCGTGCCAGAGCCGACGCCGCCAGGGCAGCTTCCCCTGACTCCCGCGCCTGTTCCTGCCCCCGCGCCGCCCCTGCCTGCCTCTGGCGGCTGTGCGATCGCGGCGCCGCCGCCTGCCTCGGCCAGTGCGATCGCGGCGCCCCCGCCCGCTGCAACAGGGAGCGCGCCTCCGCCCCCTCCAGCTCCTGAACTGGGCAGCTCGTCTTCCGACGAGGGCGTCGACGGCGGCGCAAGCGAGGAGGCCGCCACGACGATGCGACGGGGGGGCAACTCGAGCCCCCCGAAGAGCGGCGGCGCAGGATGCGTTCCAGAAGCATGCAGAGACCGACCGAGCAGGATGTTGCTTCCTGTAGCTCATTGTCTCTGGCGCAACAGAGGAAGTGAGCCTGGCGACTCGTCTCTCTGAGAGGAAGCGCAGACGATTGCCCGACGAACGCAAGGCCGAGCTTCGCAGCGTCGCCCGAACGTGTGCCAGGCAGCAGCACTTCGTCGACAACAAGGGGCGTTGGGAAGCCGACGCCCAAGCTCGCGGCCGACATTGGCAAATGCTGCAGCTCGAGGACAGAAGCGCCCGGCGCATCAGAGAAAGCTCGACTTGCGGTTCGACCCGCCCCCTACATTGAGGCAGCTTCTCGAAGGCATCCCCCGCCGAAGCGACAGCCCAGATAACGCAGGGCAGCTGTGGCCCGTCGCGCGCGCTTGCCTCCAAGAAGCAACGCTACAAGCGGCGGCTGTGGGAGGAGCTGTGGGGCCCTGACGCTGCCCCTGACGCGCCCTTCGCCGAGGCATGCCCGAATGCCGTGCTCGGCGACGGGCGGGCGGCGCTGACGCCAGACGCCTTCGAGGCATCGAAGCGCAAGGCAGGGGTTCAGAACGACGAGACCTACGTCAAGCACATCCTCGAAAAGCGCAGCGGCAAGGCGCGGCGCTGGGGGGGGCCTGGGTGGAGGGATGTGCCTTCTGAATTCGTGAGCATTTTCTGCCGCGTCAGGTTCTGGCATCACCAGTGCGCCAAGGGCGAAAAGGCGCGTGAGTACCTGGCCTGGAAGAACGCTGACAGGGATGCGGAATTCCTGGAACTGGCGGAGATGAAGTGGATCCTGGATCTAGATGGTGGCGAGACCGCGCTTCTGAGTTGTGCCGGAGACGACTCTGCCTCTGGCGAGACGTGGTACATCGGGAAAGGACAGCTCGTGACGCTGGCGGAGATGTTCAGCTACGGGCGCCGCTTTTGCTCGTGCCACTTCCTGCGCGCGTTGCGCCTCCGACAACCGATATTCGCGACGGGGAAGGGGCGCGGCGAGTCGCAGACGGCGGGGTCTACTCTTAAGAAGAATGCTCGGCGCCTGCGCTATCAGGAGACAGGGCGCCGGGGCCTGCCCCGGCGGCGAAGGTGAGGGCGTGGCGCTGCTGAGTAGCTGCCTCTGGCGCTTCTTTCTTTGCAGAACCCTCTGAAGAGCTGCCTCTGGCGCTTGCTGACTTTTGCGCGCGGCGCGTCGCTGCTTTCGCGGCTGCCCGTCGGCCGCGCATTCGCGCGCGAGCGCGCTTGCCTGCGCGCGGGCAAGGGCGGCGGCGAGTTCGATCCGTCGCGGATTTCCCGCAACAAGTTGCGGTGGCGCGACGAGCGCGCGATCGAGGCGTTCCGCAAGCTTTTGGCGCCTGCGGGGCTGAAGGATATCTTCGGCAGAACTCCAGCGAATTCGCCTGGCGCGAGAAGGCCGACGACAAAGTCATGCTCATCACATGGGCGAACTTGGCGCGGCAGGAGGAGCGCGCCCCGCCATGGGCGCGCCCCGCCATGGGCGACATGGACGCAGGCGCTGCCTCTGGCGCGCCCCGCCGCGGCGAGCGCGCCCCAACGCGAAGTGGCCTCAGGAAGCGGCCTGAAGCGGCCGAAGGGTGCCCGCCAACTGACCGCCCTCAGGAAGCGGCCTCAGGAAGCGGCCAGAATGCACTGCCTCTGGTGTGCCCCGACAATTCACCGCCCTCAGGAAGTGGGCAGAATAAGAGCACCCCTTGGGAAGACCTTCGCTAAGAGATGGTTGCCCGAGACACTGCCTCTGGCGTGGCCGAGTCACTGCCTCTGGCGCGCCCGTGACGCTGCCTCTGGCGCGCCTTCTGAGGCCAAGGCGGCGTCGCCGCAGCTGGCGCCGCGACACTTGCGAGCGGAAAAGCTAGTCATCGTCATCACCACCATCGTAGTCGCCATCATGACCACCGACATCATGAGCGCAGTCAGCGACGCCATGACCACCGACATCATGACCACTTTCGTCATGGCCACCGTAATCATGACCACCGACATCATGACCATCGTCATCATGACCACCGACGTCAATGGCATCATCAGCGCCACCATCATCATCATCATCATCATCACCATCATCATCATTACCATCATCGCGCCAAGTTTGCATCATCTTAGCGCTGCGGATCCTTAATATGATGTTCGACCCCTTGGTGGACCAGTCAGGGAGGAGGAGGAGGAGGGAAAAGAGGAGGAACGCGAGGACGATGGGGAGGAGGAGGGGGAGGAGGAGGAGGAGGAGGAGGAGGAGGAGGAGGAGGAGGAGGAGGAGAAGGAACATACAACATAAAAAAGCAAACGCACTGCGAGAAAGAGGAGGAGGAGGAGAAGCGAGAGGAGGATACAGAGGCACTGCGAAGAGGAGGGGGCGAGAAACACTCGGCTTATTACGAAAAAAACAAGGAGGAACGCAGCGAGCAGGATGAGGAGCAGGAAAAGGAACAAAAACATAAGGAGCGCGATGAGGAGGCAGAGGATGAGGCGGAGGAGGATGAGTAAAACGACGAGGAGGAATAGCACCAGGAGGATGAGGATTCGTATGGGAAGGTGAACGGGGAGGAGTGAGGTGACGAGGCAAAGAAGGAGAAAGAACAGGAGGAACAGCGGGAGGAAAATATGTGGAAAATGATGAGGAGTTGTGGCTGAATGGGGGCAAGGTGCGGGCGACAAGGATGATGACGTGTATGCGGAGGACGAGCACGACGACGATAACGAACCGCTCGACGACGACATCGAAGGCGACGGCGGCTCAGGAGCAGGAGGACGCGCGAGCACTCGGAGGAACCACCATGGCTCAGAACGTGCTGTTCGGGATGCGGGGCTCTGGCCATGTCGTTGCTGTGTTGTGAGTTTCTGCCGGCCGGTGCCGGGTCCTGGGGCAACCCCAAAACGGTTCGGTCTGGATGAAACGCCAGCCCCAAGGACGAAAGGTATGCAGAAGCATGTGGAAAGAGGGTGGATAACATCTGGTTAAGCATGAGTTGTCGGGGGTCCGCGCGGATTTCTGACAGTGGGCGGGCCGCGGCAGGAGGATCCCACGCTCAGGGCAAGAATAATCTTGATAGCGGGCAGGTTTTGGCTGGCTTGGGCTCTTTTGCGTGAAACTCTGGACATCAGGAGGAGAAGGGGGGGAGGGGAGAGGGGGAGGATGAGGAGGAGGAGGAGGAAAAGGAGGAGGAGGAGGAGGAGGAGGAGGAGCAACATGAACAGGAGGAGGAGGAGGAACAGAAACAGACGGGGATTAAGGATAATTTGATATAGCTGGGGGACGCCGAGGTGGCCAAGGCTGTGATCGCCGATGCAGACAAGCTGAGGCCCGTGCTCTCGGACCGCAGCGGCTCCTGGCGGCAGTGAAGATGTTTTGTTTCTGGCAGAGACGGTTGGCACGGGGCATGATCCCATTGTTTGCAATATGCCACGCCTGATTCGGGACTCAGACTCGTGGTCCTTTGTCTCCTGTGGTTCCTCCCCTTGGTGGGGACCAGGGCCGGGTTGTATGTCCTGATCGGGGTCTCATTCGGGGACCTTTTGCAGAGGATGATGGTTTTGAGCTGTGGCCAGGTGGGAGAACCTGAAGCGCAAAGACTTCCGCAGTTCGGGGTATGAGATTTTACCTGACGGCAGGTCTGATCTCCTGTGGTTGAAGCTCTCCTGCCCTGAGTGATTATCAGGATGACAGCGGGTATGACCAGGAGCAGCAGGAGTAAGGGAAGCAGGAGTGGAAAGAGGAGTCGGATAATACATCGGAGAGGAAGAGCGGACTTATTGTACGGTTCATCCAAGAGGTCATCGATCAGTAGGTTGTGTCTGGGAGGTGTGGCATTCAAAGTGACCAGAGGCATCCCATCTGCACACGGAAGAAAGGCTGGTTGGGACTTTTCAAGAGAAAGAGCTCTGTCATTGCGGGACTCGGGCCGCCGGCGGAAGTTAAAGCGAAAGCGGTTCTGCCGGCAGAAGCTGGCGGAAGCCCGGATGTATAACTTGACCCTTCGAGAGAGGCCGCCATTGTGGAGCCCAGGGGTTGTAGAAGGCAGTGCCGTGCGATGTGTTTGGAGTGCCTGATGTGACCTCGAAACGCTCAATGTGACACGATTTTCAGATGATGAGGCGCGCTGGCTTAATGAGGCCGAGGAAAAGCATACGTAACTAAAATAGTTTCGGATGTCCGCGCGGATCCCTTGGATCGGCGCTGGAATCCCCCTGGCGGCGCCGTCAGCGCAGCCGCTGGCGCGCTCAGCTCGCCCGGGGTAGGCAGGGGATTGGCTTCACCGCCGGTCCAAGTGTTCCACGCGGGCTTCCGAAAGCTGATGCTTGTACCGATTTTCTCTCCTGCATTTGAAGCGCCGAGATGAGAACCGCTTTGGGCTGAGGAGGGGGTCTGGTTTTTGCCCTCTCCTTGGATCTAGGTCTGGGAACCTGTTAGTGGCCAAGGCTCGCCGTTACCAGAAAGGCCCCTTCGTTCCTTGTTCAGCGCCCCTGACTGCAGCACGATGATTGTATTGATATTCGACGCGATTCCATGCTTATCGGGCCAATTTTCTCGTGGCCGCGACTGGAGGTCGGAAGACAGGACCAGGAGCATTCTGGGGCGGACGTGTTAGCATTTGGCATACCAGTGTCCCATTTGAATTGGTTCAGCCGATGACTTAGTCAAGTGTTTAGCCAGAGACAGCTTGCTTGCATAATGGGGGGACACACGTACACGGTACCGGAGAGTGCATCGTGCGATCTTCAGATTTCTCGATGGATGTGCGTCGGACTCGCGTGCTGAGCCGTCGGACGCAAAGTTTTCTTGTCAGAGTATGTTGCACAGGCCCCCAGACATTGGCAAGCTGTTCGTCGCCCTTCACGAGAAGAAGTGGTTCACGGACCCCATGGCCGAGGGATATTTGACAGAGTCCTTGGTCGCCCAGGAGAGCAAGTTGCACATGTGTTGCGTTGTTGCCTGGACTCATGGCCTGCAGAGCGGAGCAGCAGAGCGTGCCCTCCTCGTCGGAATATTGCCCGATCCATGATTCAACATTGCCGTTCCCTGCAGGTGTCGCTTTTGCAAGCTCTGGGTTCGCAAATAGACGTCAAAAACACATCAGATGTTGTGTCATGACTTGGAACTGTATCCGCGCACGTCTTGTTACAAAACTCCTTGCCGCTGGAATTGGCGGTCGGTCTAGTCTAACCCAAGTGCCTGCGGCAACGCCTGACATCGTGCCAGTGCAGCATGGAAAAGTTGCAGGAACATTCGGCCCCGCCCTTCCGAGTAGGCCCCGCAGAACCAGTTCCACGGGGCAGTCGCGCCTTCGCGGGCCCACAATCGCGGGCCTTCTCAAGATGTAGAATCCTAGTTAGGCACGGTTTCCGAAGGCCACTTGGGACTCTTGGGCCGACTCTGGCGCTACCGTTGCACCAAGCACACCCGAACAGGTTCGGCAGAGTCGTCGCAGGGCCATCTGGACGCGTCTCGGGGCCATCTTGGAAACATATGTGGGCGACAGGAGTCGACGAGAGGGCCCGAGAGACGTCCAAGTATTATGGCCCAAGAGCGCTCCAAGAGAGATCAAGACCGCACAAAAGCGTTTCGAAAGTGGTGCAACATGGTTTGAAGACAGCCCAAGACCGCTTCAAGACGGCCAAGATGCCCTCAAAAGGACTCCCACGAGGAACTCAGGAGGCGAAGCAAACACTTGTGTTCCTATTGTTTTTTGCAGGTTTGGTTTGTTCTCGCTGTTTCGAGTTTCCGATGGTCCAGGATAGCCCACGAGGCCCCAGAAATCAGCCCAAGACGGCCCAAGGGGCACCCAAAGAGGGCGCCACGACGGCGTAGGAGAGTCCCAAGACGGCCCAGGAGTGCCCCAAGATGGCCCAAGAGGCGCCCAAGATCGCCCAAGGGGCCCCAAGACGGCCCCAAGAGGGGCCCAAGAGGGGGAACACGAACTGACAATTCGAGCCTTCCGCCCCAAGAGCCCCCCAGGAGGCCCCAGGAGGCCCCCAAGGGAGCTCAAGAGGCCCCCTGGAGGCCCCGTAGAGGCCCCACGAGGTCCCAAAGAGGCCCAAAAAGACACCCCAAGAGCACCCCAAACTGCCCCCAAGAGGCTTCTAAAATTGCCTTCAAGAGGTCCCCCGGAAGCCTCCACGAATTCCAAACGATCTTCCAAGAGGCCTCGAACACACAACCCAGGCACAGTGAGAGGATGGGCCGAAGGCCATTAGATGGTCCAAGATGGCCTCCAGACAGCCCAAGAGGCCCCCAAGATGCCCAAGAGGCTTCCAAGAACTAGTTAGGTTTCCATGTGTGTTCGAACAATTTTGGCATTTCTGCCTGGTCCGCTTCCCGACGTTGCAAAACGCCCGAGGAGGCTCCGAGTATCGCCCCACGACGGCCCAGTAGGCTTCAAAAGCGCCCCAAGACGGTCCGACAGGCTTCAAAAGCGCCGAATAGACCTCGAAGACGGCCTGAGAGGGCCCCAACCGCGGCCCAGGATCAGGAACGTGAAGCGAGAACCCGAGATATTCGCGCCAGGAGACCCCCAGGAAGCTTCAAGAGGTCCCCAAGAAGCCCCAAAGAGGCTAAGAGCCCCGAGAGAGGCCCCGAGGGCACCTGAGAAAAACTATAATTCCAACATGTTTGTATTAAGTTTGCCTACGCTTGGAACAAGGAAATATCATATTTGCTCCTCCTCCTCTTCCTCCTCCTCTGCGGCCTCCTCCACCTTCTCAAACTCCTCATCCTCCTTCTCCTTCTCCCCCCCAGGGAACCCCTTCACCTCCCCTTCTCCTCACTCTTCCTCCGGCTGCGTCCAGCCGCGGCGAGTAAACGGGCCCCAGAAGTACCTTTTGGGTTTGTCTTAAGCCTTCGTGGGTGGACCGTAGGAAGTCTTCGAAGCCACTTGGGCCATCTTCGTGGCTCTTGGAAGCCCCGGAGAAGAAGTGGCATGGAGTAGAGATCCCCAAAAGTTCGACCATCCAGCCTAGCTAGACCTTGAGCGCGCGCGAAGTTGGCCTGGGGGGGGGGGGGGGGGGCAGGCCGCCTCCATGGGCGCCCCCTCGCGGCTTCTGGGGGGTCCCAGAGCTCCCGAGGCGCCGGGCCCGCCCCTGAACAGGCCGCGACGGGCTCACGGGGGTCCCAGGTGGGCCTAAGGCGGTCCCAGGAGGCCCCGACGACGCCCAAGCTGCCCTCAAGACGGCCGACGAGGACTCCAACACGCTCCAGGACGGACTCAGCTCCCCAAGAGGGCCCTGTGACGACCTCGGAGGCCCTTCAGATCGCTCCAAGACGGCCCACGAGGCCCCGAAGAGAGCCCCAAGACGGCCCAGGAGGCTCGCCAGACAACCCGAGTGTTCCCCAAGAGGGGGCCCAGAGGGGGACCGCGAACCGATGTATCGAGATATCTTGCCCTAGAGGCCCCCAGTCGACCCCCAGAGGTCAGCAAGAGGCTCCCGCGAAGCCCCGTGAGGCGCCCAATAGGCCCCCAGGAAGCCCCAAGAGGCCCCCAAGGGGCCCCCAGGGACCGCCCAAGAGGCCCCCCAACACACCCCAACAAATCATGTCCCCAGAAAGCCTTCCGGTAACATGGTTAATCGTGGGCCCGAGAGTCTCCAGAGGCTCCGAAGTACCATCACGCTACCGGAGAGCTGTCTGGGAAGTTGACTGGGAACATCACTGCTCGCCTTCTCGTGGCCCTCCGCGGATCGTTTCGCACAAAGTTGCCCCAAGTGCCCCCTTGAACCGACGACGACGACGACGAAGACGACGAATCGACGAAAACGAGGAGGAGGACGACGACGACCATGACGACAGCGCGCCCCAAGAGGCGACGACGACATTACGACGACGACGACGACGACGACGACGACGACGACGACGACGACGACGACGACGACGACGACGACGACGACGACGGCACGCCCCAACAGGCTCCCCAAGACGTCCCCCAAACTCATGTTCCCAGACGGCCTTCTGGGAACCCGATTCATCAGGCCTCCGCCCCCCTACGCAACCATCTTCCCCGAAAGCCTTCCGAAATGCGTATTGACATGCGTGGACTTTTCACTGGCCATAATGCGTTCAGCGTTATGGAAACTTCTTCACTTCCCATTCAAACCATGTGTGGTCCACTCCTTCAGTGGAGCATCGAACTCGTCAAGGCCTGGGGCCTGCTAGAACCTGAGCGCGCGCGAAGCGCGCGCAATGGTTCTAGTGTAAATATGTGGGTGTTCTGCTAGGGTATCTTCTACCATGAGTTGGCGGTCTGGGGACCGGCATGCCCAGCACGTCCACGAGTTTGCCGCGCGTACAGGGTTGTGGACCCTTCTCGCCGAAGCCGTTTTGGATGCTCTTACTGCCCGCGACCCTCCCTGGGTTTCGTTCCCCTCATTGATGAAGAGGAGGGGTGGACCCCTCCCTGAGAGGGGCAGACTGGAGGATGGAATCGGAGACTCGCTAAACCACTCACGCCCCAAAGGGCTGGTGGGAGCTGCTCGTGTGTCCGCGCCACTTGGCTGCAGAGGGGACTCGAGAACAGGTTATCGCTCTTGCTCGTGAGAGGTTGAACTCACGAAGGATCTCGCTCCCAGCTGCGTTTGGCTGCAGAGGGAACGTGAGACGGTGTTCGCTCTGGCCGCATGCATGTGTTTGGAAAGGGGAGTTGAAAAGGTTCTCATTCTAGCTGCGGGGAAGGGATCCTTCGGAGGATCTCGCTCCTGGCTGCGTTTGGCTGGAGAGGGAGCATGACAAGGTTTTTCGCACTAGCCGCTCGGAGAACATTCTCGCTCGAGCCCTTTGCGTTGCTCGCCGGCGTGCTCGTTCGAGCCGCAGTCCTCGCCTCTGGCCGCCGGCGTGTTTCTTGCGAACTCTGGCCTTCGCTTCGTCCACCGCCGTGCTCCATCGAGCCCTGGTCTTCGCCTTTGCCGCTGGCGTGGTCACGCGGGCCCGGTAAGCCTTGGCGTTTGAGAGACGTGAACCGTGGGTGCGGACGAAGGGGGGGGGGGGATAGGGAAAGTGCGGGTTGCATTGTTTCTGGCCGCCCATAGCGCCCTCCACGCGCCCCGGGACTGTCAAAGAGCTGCTCGGAAGAAACCCTTGCCCAGGGGGACGGGAGCCCGTGGATGCAGGGCACTTGCCCCTGGGGGAGCCGATCCGCTAAACCACCCGCGCCCAGAGGGTTGGTGGTATTCGAGCCAAGGTTCTGACATGTCTCGCTCTTCTGGTATACGACTCCTAGTTCAGTGTGCGCATGGTTCGAGCCGATCGGTTGATTTTGGTAGATTGATTCTGGCCAGCTCGGATGATCCGAATCGGCTCCGATATTCTGACGATCCGCTGCGGCCCGATATTTGCATGGCGTTGCTGCGCGTCCTGGCGCGACCGATCCGATTCGGTTCCGAAGCGTGCCGATGCAGCCCGATCCGATGGCGGTACGTCCGTGTGGATTTCGACACGTGCCGATCCGATTCCGACTCGGACACCCATTCCGACGCGGCTCGATTTTCCGGATGCGATGGTAATTGATCTTGCCGAGCCCGTCTCCGGTGCTAATTTTCAAGGGTCCGCTGATAGTTTTGGTTATCGGGTTTTCCCCCCCCCCCCCCCCTCCCCGGATAGCTTGACCTTGTCGGTTGCGCAGGTCCGGAGGGGTCGGGCTGCCCAATGCGACAAGGTTCGATCATCGGCCCGCACCTCCCCCCCATCCCCACACTCCAGACAACCTGGGCCATCGCCGAGCAATAGAAATTGTCTCTTGTTCGAGGCGGGGATTCAGACGTAACCACCGCCTGGAGGATCCGTTTTTGCGGACCTCCACGGGTGGTTGGTGTGGACATCTTGTGGCCCCGGGGGGACAACATACATCCACATCCACCGCCCTCTGGGTCCAGAAGATGTCGGTTCCCAGGCAGTGGTTGCGCATAAATTCCCTCCTCGCATCCTGCCAGATCCAGAACCTGAAGAAGCAGGACCAGGGCCTTGATCAGATCGTCCAGCAGTCCGTCAAGGAGCAGGAAGCAGCGGCCGCGGCCTGAGCGCGGGCGGTATCTCCGCTGCGGCGCCCGCAGCCTCCAGGACTCGCTTTTTGTTTTTGCCGAGAACGGAAGACCGCAGAAGTATAAATTTTCGTATGTCCGCGTGGGCGCCAAGGGTGGCTGACATGCGCCCCGAGGTGGAGCCGTCTGGGGGTCTGAGGTGGCCCAGCATTGGCTCAGGCCAGCAGGAACGGCGGGTAGCTTCCAGGTTCTGTCTTCGGGACGGCTCTTTGCCTTTCTCGGCCTAATTACAGGGGCAGTTATCGGGCCCAGGACATTGAAACCAAGATCTGGGGGTGAACAACTGCACCATATGAACGTACTCCCGCCCAGGCAGCCCCTCATGACCGAATTTCTGGCGCCCCTACCAGCTCAGACCCTCCGACCGCCTCGAAGCATAAGCGTGAATACTTAACACTCACAGACACGCACAGACACCCCCACACACACACACACACACGGACCCACCCATAAAGACACACATGCGCACACACCACGCCACACCACACTACACCACACCACACGACACACCACACACACACACACACACACGCTCACACGCTCACACGCACACGCACACGCAAACACACGCACACCAAGACGACTTAAGACGTTGTCACGAGGGCCCCGAGACAACCCAAGACAACCCAAGGTATGCCCAAGGTGGCCACAGGTGGCCGTGGCAGCGGCAGCGTTTGGCTCAGTAGAGCTCTTGAAGTTGGCAGTGTGTGTGTGTGTGTGGTTGCTGGCGGGCCAGTACCCCACCAGCTATGTCCAGCCCGCGCGCGATGCTTCACGAAGTTGAGGCGACTCTCGCCGAGCAGGGGAAGGAGAAGTCCTGCGGGCTCAGCTCGGCCCCCACGCGATGCCCAACGGCGGAGATTCCTTCTTTCGTTGACGACTGGGACTCCGCTGCGAACGAGGAGAGCTGGGGCGCCACCGCGCTGCCGAGGGCCGGTGACGAGCCGGAACTCGAGACGGCGCTCCCCGAGGCGGTGCTCTCAGGGGGCTGGCGCCCCCAGGGGTCTGCGGTGCCAGCGCCGCGGAATGCCCCCGTCATGCGCCTCCGCTCTGAAGCGTACTGGGAGCAGAAGGCCGCCGCCGCCGCCCAGCAGCCGACATGCTCGCCCTGGGAGGCTCGGGGGCTTGCAAGTGAAAGGTATTCCCAGCCCATGGTGTCCCCAGCTTTTCGCTCCATTTTGGAGACCCCAGGGCCCTCTGAGCCCTCGCAAGGGATGCGCTGGAGGCCATGGGGTCCTCTCTGGAGATCCCTGGGGACGCCTTGGGCCAGCGACACTACCGTCGAAGGAGAATAATAATAAGAAAAGACGCAGCATAGACATCAGCTTTCGAAGCTCTGCGCTCGTATCTAGGATCGGCACTGGACCACCCCTGGCGGCGCCTCTGGCGCCGCCCCTGCCGCGCGCCAGGGAGGGGGGCCAAGCGCCGATCCAAAAATTCCGCGCGGAGCTCCGAAAGTTAGGTTTATGCAGCGTTTTCGCCTCTGTTCTGGCAGCGCTCGAGAGGTGGGCGTGAGGCGGCGACGCCCGTGCCTTGACGAGGAGGGCTGCCTCGGGCCAGCGGCGACCGTGACGCCGGCAGCAGACGGCGCCAGGGCGGCGGCGGCCACGACGCCAGCAGCGGGAGGCGCCAATGGCGGCGCAGGCGCCGCCGGCGGCCCCAAGAGCTGGGCAGGCGCCATCGCCAGGGAGCTGCGCCGTTCGGCGCGCGGGCCCGTGGCGCCGCCGGCCCCGCCGCCTGGGCCGCCCCCCGCCCAGCCGCCGGGGGCCGCTCGGAGGTTGCGTGGCCAGTCGCACCACCCGGCCGGGAGTCGATAGGTGAGCATGTGAATCAAGCAGTGGCGAAGCGTCTTGGCGTGCCTATAGTCCTACCAAACAGTGTTCTAAGAACCTTTTGAGGTTCCCACGAAATGTTCTTAGAACATTTCTGGTTGATATGGTTTTGTTCCCAACCATCCTGTGGTGTTGGGTCCTCGTTTTGAAGAGACGGCGCCCCGCGTTCCTCACCTCCTCCTCCTCCCCCCCCTCCCTCCTCCCACCATCATCATCATCATCATCATCATCATCATCATCATCATCATCATCATCATCATCATCTCATCACCACCATCATCATCATCATCATCATCATCATCATCATCACATCATCATCATCATCATCATCACATCATCATCATCATCATCATCATCATCACCACCCATTTCGGCACACCCCTCACACGTTCGTGGCCCCATGGGCAGCTCCACCGAAGGCCCCAGTGGCAGCGTTCGCATGCCTCCCCACCACCCATTCGGCACACCCCTCACACGTTTCGTGGCCCCATAGGGAGCTCCACCGAAGGCCCCAGTGGCATGGTTCGCATGCCTCCCCACCACCCATTTCGGCACACCCCTCACACGTTTCGTGGCCCCATAGGGAGCTCCACCGAAGGCCCCAGTGGCTGCGTTCGCATGCCTCCCACCACCCATTTCGGCACACCCCTCACACGTTTCGTGGCCCCATAGGGAGCTCCACCGAAGGCCCCAGTGGCAGGGTTCGCATGGCCTCCCACCACCCATTTCGGCACACCCCTCACACGTTCGTGGCCCCATAGGGAGCCCCACCGAAGGCCCCAGTGGACTGGGCTCGCATGGCCCCCCACCACCCATTTCGGCAAGACCACACCTGGCCTGGTTCGTATGCCTCCCCCACCCATTTCGGCACACCCCTCACACGTTTCGTGGCCCATGGGGATTTCCACTGAAGGCCCCAGTGCTGGCGTTCGCATGCGCCCCCACACCCATTTCGGCACACCCCTCACACGTTTCGTGCCCATAGGGAGCTCCACCGAAGGCCCCAGTGGCTGCGTTCGCATGCCGCCCCCACACCAATTTCGGCACACCCCTCACGCGTTTCGTGGCCCCACAGGGAGCTCCACCGAAGGCCCCAGTGGCTGCGTTCGCATGCCGCCCCACACCAACTTCGGTGCACCCCTCACACGTTTCGTGGCCCCATAAGGAGCTCCACCGAAGGCCCTAGTGGCAACGTTCGCATGCCGCCCCCACACCCATTTCGGCACACCCCTCAAACGGTTCGTGGCCCCATAGGGAGATCCACCGAAGACGGTACTCACACCAGCATTACTCACAACTGCATATGGTTGGGTCCTTCGCCAGGCTAATTTTAACACATCGGGTTTATGTTCTAAGAAAATTGTTTTTGTTCTTAGAACATCTTTTGGTTCTAAGAACATTTCGTGGTAGGACTACAGGACCGCCAGGACGGTCGGTCCCTGCTCAAGAGAAAACGGAGCCACATGTCGGAGACCAAAACGAAGTACACATACCTTTCTGGAGGTCCGCGCCGATTTCTCGGATCGGCGCTGAAGCCCCCCGTGGCGGCGCTCCTAGCGCCGCCCCTGGCGCGCTCCGCGTGCCAAGGAGAGGCTTCCTGCGCGCATCCAAGAAAGAGCTCGGACCTACAAAAGTCGATGTTTGCGTCATTAGTTGTTCCCCGACAACTAACTGCCCATTAGTCGACGGCGTTGCTGTTATTTACCGCCCTCCCGCCGCTGCCCGGCGTTTAAGCCCGTCCAGAACGAGCCATGCCTTTCATGCACCATGCCAGTTGTGCACCATGCATATTGTGCACTGTCAATCTTATGATGACGCCCTGCTCGTCCTAATACATGTTTCTGTCGCGGCACTGGCAAAACAAGTGTTGCTTAGAGCGATCTTGACCCGAGAACGCGAGGTGGAATCCCCAGGGAGCATGGGCACACTTTGGTCAAGAGGGAACAAAAACACACACAGACACAATGAATCGTCGATCCCCGGGAAAAGATGGGAAAATATCGAAAGTGGGGGGGAAGACGGAAGCCCACAAGATATGACAAAATATAGGGAATCCTGTTATTTGTGTGTATTTATATGTGTCCTTGGGCCCCTTCATTTGGGCCTGGCGGCCTCGGCATGCAGTCGTCATTTGTCACCGACGCGAGGCGGGATCCCAGGCGCGCACCGGCACACTTGTGGGCCTGGCGGCCGCGGTGTGCCAGGTGTGCGAGGCGGTTCGGGAGCTCTCTTCTTTCCAGCTATTCAATCCTACCATTAAGTCGGGCGTGTCCCTCTACAGGGGAACAGGTGAATATTCAAAAGTAGTAAATAAATAGTCTGGGATAATTGTTTGACTACCTTGAGTTTTTTTTTTCGCCCAAAATCCTCCTGTAGGGGGACACGCCCGACTTCAACCCTACCAGTCGGATACGGAAGCGTTAAGTACCAAAACCAACGCTAACGTGAGAACTAGTTAGAGGTTACGACACTGACACCGGATGCGCCAGCTGGAAAGTGCCGAACAGGAGTAACAGGGTCATGTTGGTCGTTATTTGCCGGTGCCGGACCAAAGCAGTTTTTGGAATGCGTCCACGACCACCCAGTGGGAATCTTATCATAGTTTTTGTTGCGCGCCAGTCCAGAACGTGCTGCGCCTGCGCCCGTAGCCAAATTTTTCTGCCCAGTTGGCATAACCTAAGGGTCGCCGCGTGAGCAGACGAATATTAGTTGAATGGGAATGGTGGCGGGCCAGTACCCCACCAGCTATGTCCAGCCCGCGCGCGATGCTTCACGAAGTTGAGGCGACTCTCGCCGAGCAGGGGAAGGAGAAGTCCTGCGGGCTCAGCTCGGCCCCCACGCGATGCCCAACGGCGGAGATTCCTTCTTTCGTTGACGACTGGGACTCCGCTGCGAACGAGGAGAGCTGGGGCGCCACCGCGCTGCCGAGGGCCGGAGACGAGCCGGAACTCGAGACGGCGCTCCCCGAGGCGGTGCTCTCAGGGGGCTGGCGCCCCCAGGGGTCTGCGGTGCCAGCGCCGCGGAATGCCCCCGTCAGGCGCCTCCGCTCTGAAGCGTACTGGGAGCAGAAGGCCGCCGCCGCCGCCCAGCAGCCGACATGCTCGCCCTGGGAGGCTCGGGGGCTTGCAAGTGAAAGGTATTCCTAGCCCACATGGTGTCCCAGCTTTTCGCTCCATTTTGCGAGGGCACCCCAGGGCCTCTGAGTTCCGTCGCAAGGGATGCGCGGAGGCCATGGGGTTCCTCTCTGGAGAATCCCTGGGGACGCCTTGGGCCTAGGGTTCATACCGTCGAAGGAGAAGCAAATAAATAAGAAAAGACGCAGCATAGACATCAGCTTCGAAGCTCCTGCGCTCGTATCTTGGATCGGCACTGGACCACCCCTGGCGGCGCCTCTGGCGCCGCCCCAGCCGCGCGCCAGGGAGGGGGGCCAAGCGCCGATCCAAAAATTCCGCGCGGAGCTCCGAAAGTTAGGTTTATGCAGCGTTTTCGCCTCTGTTCTGGCAGCGCTCGAGAGGTGGGCGTGAGGCAGCGACGCCCGTGCCTTGACGAGGAGGGCTGCCTCGGGCCAGCGGCGACCGTGACGCCGGCAGCAGACGGCGCCAGGGCGGCGGCGGCCACGACGCCAGCAGCGGGAGGCGCCAATGGCGGCGCAGGCGCCGCCGGCGGCCCCAAGAGCTGGGCAGGCGCCATCGCCAGGGAGCTGCGCCGTTCGGCGCGCGGGCCCGTGGCGCCGCCGGCCCCGCCGCCTGGGCCGCCCCCCGCCCAGCCGCCGGGGGCCGCTTGGACGTTGCGTGGCCAGTCGCACCACCCGGCCGGGAGTCGATAGGTGAGCATGTGAATCAAGCAGTGGCGAAGCGTCTTGGCGTGCCTATAGTCTACCAAACAGGTCACTCAGAACCTTTTTGAGCTTCCCACACTGAAATGTTCTTAGAACTTTCTGGTTGCATATGGTTTTGTTACCAAACCATCTGTGGTGTTGGGTCCTCGTTTGAAGAGACGGCGCCTCCGCGTTCATCAATCTCCTCCTCCTCCCCCCCTCCTCCTCCCATCATCTATATCATACATCATCATCATCATCATCATCATCATCATCATATCATCATCATTCACTCATCCATCATCATCATCATCATCATCACCATTTTCGGCACACTCCTCACACGTTTCGTGGCCCCATAGGGAGCTCCACCGAAGGCCCCAGTGGCAGGGTTCGCATGCATCCCCACCACCCATTTCGGCACACCCCTCACACGTTTCGTGGCACCATATGGAGCTCCACCGAAGGCCCCAGTGGCAGGGTCCGCATGCCTCCCCACCACCCATTTCGGCACACCCCTCACACGTTTCGTGGCCCCATAGGGAGCTCCACCGAAGGCCCCAGTGGCTGCGTTCGCATGCCTCCCACCACCCATTTCGGCACACCCCTCACACGTTTCGTGGCCCCATAGGGAGCTCCACCGAAGGCCCCAGTGGCAGGGTCCGCATGCCTCCCCACCACCCATTTCGGCACACCCCTCACACAGTTCGTGGCCCCAGAGGGAGCTCCACCGAAGGCCCCAGTGGCCTGGTTCGTATGCCTCCCCAACACCCATTTCGGCACAACCCTCACACGTTTCGTGGCCCCATGGGGAGGCTCCACCGAAGGCCAGTGGCAGGTTCGCATGCCTCCCCACCAACCCATTTCGGCACACCCCTCACACGTTTCGTGGCCCCATAGGGAGCGCCACCGAAGGCCCAGTGACTGGGCTCGCCTGCCTTCCCACCACCCATTTCGGCAAACCCCTCACCGTTTCGTGGCACCCTGTGAGTTTCGCCGAAGGCCCCAGTGCCTGTTCGCATGCCTCCCAACACCAATTTCGGCACTATCCCTCACACGTTTCGTGGCCCATGGGGATTTTACACTGAAGGCCCCAGTGGCTGCGTTCGGTTCCACATGCGCCCCCACACCATTTCGGCAAAAGGCCCCAGTCGTTCACGTTGGCCAC